TAATTTTTTCAATTCTATTGATTTATCATTATTTTGTTTCTCTATATCCTTTGGCCATTCAAATTCTTTTATAACAAAATATTTATACAATATTTTTTAATAATCAAATATTGATAATAAAAGATGATGATTTGTCTACTACCTCATCTGAATCAAGCGATTACTCTGGAAAATTAATAGAGGATAATAAAGCTGATACCCCTTCTCAGAGGATAGCCAAAGTTCGTGACTTTAAACGAAAAAACATTTCATCACTTACTTCATTCCGTGTTATATATATGGGAGAAGATGTACCAAATACTTGTAAACATGGTGTATTCTCTAAATTATGTGAAAGTCTTGGTCAATATTTTTTGGATGAAGTAAAAAAACCAATAATGCAAGAAATCAGCGATGAAAAACGTTATGTATTATGTCCTGCAACAAATCTACCTATGCCTAATAATACTGGTTATGAATATTATACAGATAGTGGGGTATCTGTTTATGAAATTGATCTTACTAATAAATCATTGACGGAAGCAAAAGATAGTTTATTTAAAAACCATTTCAAGATTGACAGTATAGACGACGATGGTGAAGATGGTGAAGAGGATGAATCATTTAATCAACATTTATTTGACCTATGTGTGGTATTTATACCACCAGATTTAGCTCGCTTTCCTTCTTTTCTTATTAAAACAATGCAAGAACTACAAAAATTTGTAACCTTATTACCTATAATTAGTTTGTATGGTCAAGAGTTAATATTTAATCATGAGAAGGATCAAAAACGTAAAGATATATTAAGACATTTAGAAAACAATAAAATAGAAATGTTTGTATGGAGAGCTGATAATATGGCTGAGGATTTAGACAAGAAAGGAAAACCAACTGGAAAATTTATTGAAACAAATTATTCAAACAAACTATTAACAATTGATGATTTCTCAATGTTAAATTCAGAAAAAGTTTACCACGATATGCAAATATTAAGAGCTCGTGCAATTCAATTCAGAAAAGAGCATAAATCAATGGCTGAATTAAAAAAACGTAGTAAAAGAATAGATAATAAAGTAAAATTAGGAAGGAAAATTAGTATAGTGATAACGGCAATTTTGATAGCATATCTTTCGATATTTATTATGGCAAATTTTGCTCAATGGACTCTAATTCCTGCTGATCTTGCTAGTTCTTTAGGAACAGTATCTAAAGCAAATCTTGGACATGATGATGATATCATTATCAGTAATAATTATAATATTAATGAATTTTTCTCTCAATACAAAACTTTATCAAAATACATCAAAATCTGGCAAACATCTTCCAATAAATTTGAATTTGATATCATTAAACCATTTAATAGCAAAATAACCAAAGAACTCAATGTCATTTTATATTATGATAAACAAAAATTGATAAGAAAACAAGCAAAGATTATTGGTAAGAATCGCTATTCATTTGAAATTAATGATGAGGATGGTGCTGGCAATTCTATTAAGAAAAATGGAAGTAAAATATTGATAAAAATCATTGATAAAAATGGAGTTGTTATAAAAGAATTTGAATGGCCAAAGGATATAGAGAAACAAAATAATGATAAATCAATAGAATTGAAAAAATTAAGCCATAAAGCTCTTAATAAAAATGAAGATAATGGAATTATTAGCAATAAAAATAATTACAATTACTTTTATGGATTTGGAAGTGAGAACAGTGTTGTAAATCTAGTAACCGAAGGAATTCTAATTAATGTTAGAAAAGCTACAAGTTTAGCTGTTAATTTAACACAAGAGACTTTTCTATATATAAGTGAAAATCTTAAATTTTGGATA